CAAGGAAAAAGACTACAAAATGGCGGCGCCAGTACTGGATTTTTTTTCTTCCTATTTTATTTTATTTTTTGGCATCAATCTTAGTTTTTTTTAGTTACTATTGGTTTGCTCCCGTTAATGTTTAATCCTGTACCGTCCCAATCACGTGATCGTTACTAATACTGACTCCCATCCCACGGGAATCCCGTGAACCGTGGGATTCCCGAAAAAATGTCAGTCTCTAAGACTGACTGAAAACTTTTATAGTGAGTAAATAGCATAAATTACTATATGAAAAAGGAGAAATCTAAATTTTCCGGCCACAGCGTTTTCTCAGGGAACTCTAGGCAATTGTACAAGTTCTCCAACTTAGAAAGATCAGGTTTGTAGAGTTTTTAAAGAATTTATTTGTGAATTATTTTGGAAAAAAGGATTTTGGTCACACATCTTCCTGTTTGTGTGAGACAAGATGGATATTTTCCAGAATACGAATATGTTGTAATTTCACAGTTTCTATTTTCTTCTTTTTTCCTCGGAGTTGAAGTGTACCTATTGGGGAAATTACAGACTACACTTGTCTTTCTAAGAGGAGAACCAGAGCAAGAGGCAGGCAGGCATAGATAAGTAAGCACAGCGACAGAGAGATCTTAAAGCTGTACAAAATAAAAATTTTACACTCTGTGTATACAAAATGGTAAAAAAAAAAGTAGTTTAAGTATAAAATGAAATGAAAAGAAGCTAACCCTTGCATTAAAATTGGAAATGAGTGGTTATATAATGCAGAGATGTATCGATGCCTTAAAATAAAGCTGTGTTTCTATGTTTGGTTGGCATGTCACAAAGATCGTTTTAGGATCTGCAAATTGACTCAACCTCTAAAGGGCGGCATACCTCTCCCTAATAAGCAGAAAGATAGCTACAGTTCTGCTAATAAAGGTTATGCTGTCAAACATTCCACTGTAAAAAAATAAAAAATAAATGCTTCTCATAAGTAGTGGGAGCCAAATCTTCACTAATAAAACATCTTTGTTGGTGAGCAGATTATTGCATAAGACATGAAACAAAAATCCCAACAAAGGGATATGTTTGATGCAACCCCAAAAAGAAAAATTAAAACAACAAAAAATCAGCAGGGATTCTGTAGATTGTGAATTAGGTTTAGCAGCGCTACAGTGCATCCTGTGGCTAAAAAGCTGATTAATTCAGCGCTTTGATAATGAATGGCTGAGAAAAACATCGCAGAGAAGGTTGAAAGGCATTCATCAGTGCAGTGTTTCACAGGGAGATAATAGCACTGTAACACCAGAACCTTTGCAAGAGAGAAAAAAAACAATGATGAAGACGAATATTTAGATGTTATTTAGGTAGAAAAATAGATTAGCATGAATGCTTTTTAGGTCATAAAATAAAAACTATATGTCGGATTTTTCTAATATTGAGTCCAAACTAACTGCAGCTAAGAGTCAAACTATAAATAATTTAGTGTCATGTTTTATTGTTGAAATCTAAATACTACAATTCCCCTTTTCTGTTGTTTTTTAGTATCTTCCTGTGACAAGGGTGTTTTTTCTTATTTCTAAATTAAAGGAGAAGTCCGGTCATATTCAGAATTCAAAATTTTGAAAGTACTTTAAAGGGGTCATAGAATAGAAAACTGTGTTTCATTGTCATAGATGAATAACCATAGTTCAGTGGGTGAAATGGACGTACAGAGAAGTTCAAACCCCATCGACGCCTCCTTTCTCTGCTAATCTCACAATTCTCAACTTCCACCATAAAACGGGCAAATCTAAATGAAGCCCAGCGTTGATGTAAACTCATGGATGTGTCCTTATTTGGTTCTGGCCTGTACTTTTGTAACACCCTGAAGCATACAGACTCGTCCACTGGTTCACTGGCCCAAGGGAGGGGGGGTATGAAGTGTCGACTGCTGGGCCGCTAACTGGACCATCACCGGGTCAGGTTTGGTTTCTCCTGCTGGCTCCCTCCGCCGGGGTTCCTGGACCAGCCCCGGAGCTTATGCCTCAGTTCGAATGCCCGGTGTGTTTCGACTACATGCTGCACTGTAGTCGAAGAAAAAATCCCGGACGATTTTGAAATTCCCCCCGAGAAATCTTTTTATGAAAAGTAGGACATGTCCGGGAAAAAGAGGACGTCTGGTCACCCTACCATATCAACAGTTTTGATGTTTCAGTGAATGATTGCTTGTTGCTATGATGCATCTTTGTTCAGCAGCTTTGCTTCTGTCTGTACCTCCAATAACCTTTATGGTCAGTATTTCTAGGCGTAGCCAAGGGCTGGAGGGGGTCTAGTTTGCGGACCAGTGGATCTCATTCCTGCTTTTTTGTGGAAATCATGGTTCTGCTGGCTCCCACCTGTCAAAGACCTATAGCATGACTGAGGCGGTTCTCAGCTGAGTGTGAAGCAACCAGGATGAGAATAAGCTCCTCTAATTCTGAGGTCACGGATCTCGACGGGAAAAAGGAGTGTTTTCACTATGACTGCTGTGAATGCGACCCGTACTGCATCAGAGAACAAAAGCAGTACGAATACAAACTATTTAAACATTTTTACGACTACTATGTGTTTACTAAGTAATCTTATGACTTTATTTTCATTTTATAACAACTTTATTCTTGTACAGTAATAACTTTTTGTTCATCATTTTATTACTATATTCTTCATTTTTACTCAATATTATACATTTTCGTGATGTTACTACTTTATTTTTGTAATATTGAGTATTTAGTCTTGTAGAACAAGCAAATAACTTTGTTCTCTTAAGTTCATGTTTTGTAGTAATAAAAAACTCTAAAAAGTTACTTCAATTAAAGGGAATGCCTCAAATTAAGGATGAAAGCTTTAAAAATATTCTTCATTCTCTTATCTTATTCTATATTTTGCATAAACAAGATAAGTTTCAGGATGGCAGGCTGCATTTCTTTCAAGAAAACTGGACACACAGTCTTATTACTATTAAGTGCGGTTCTGTGGATACAAACCTCCAACCAGGAGCAAATATAGTTTTCACTCATGCTGTTAATTGTTGCTTGGTCATGAAACTCATCCATCATGCAGTCCATCAGATTCATCAGGGACTTCACCAGATTGGTGTCGGAGGTCGGGGACAGCTCCTGCAGCAGGACAAGGAGAGACGACACTATTAAAAACCTCCTACACGCCTCCTGCCTGGGCATCCATCAGAAAGTTTAGACCTTTGACTAAAATCATCACGGGGTTTGTAACTGCAGCACCTTGGTTGCTTTTCGTATGAGTTGCAGGCAGGCAGGCAGTGTGCGGTCAAACAGGGCGGTGATGAGGGTTTTGTGCGAATCATTGACTGCAGCTGGCAGAGTGTTGAGCCAAGACAGCATGAGGGGTCTCCAGCCAAGCATGTGGGGCTCCAAGTAGATCATACCGCAGCGAGACACCTGCCAGTAACACACTTTAGGAAGAACAACACCTCTGCAACACTACTTCATACCTCCTAAACATTCATTTGTTGAAGAAAACAGAACTGAAATGGAGAATTAGAGAAAGGAAAAATGTCTTTATGTAAACTTGGATTATAGGTGCTGATGTGCAGCACAGTGCAGCTCGCATTCAGTGTAATAATCAATAATTTAGTATTACAATAAGCCAGACCTCACAGCTGCATACATAACCAGAAATAAACAGTTGTGCGGAGAGATGGGTGAAGACATGAAGAAGAAGAGAGGATGCAAATATGGCCCCAGAACAAACGAGCAGAAGCACATGAATATTTAAGATAAAGTAAAAGAAGAAAAGCAAGGAAAAAACAGATCAATAGGCGAGAAAAGCTGCTGTGCACCGACTGCAGAGAGTTTATAGATTAAAAACATTCTCCCACCTCTGCAGTCATAAATAAAATGAACAGATTCCAGACTTAAAAGGGCCACAAACAGGTATGACTGATAAAAACACAGATGCATCCTTTGAAGGAATCTGTGTATCACAACCAAAAGCCTGAGCTGATGCCTCACCTCAAAGAAACAGTCTGAAGAGCACAGTTATGTAACCTGTATTGGAAATGCCTGCTTTTCAGAGGAATGCAGAACTGCTTCACCCCTGTGCTCTGAGGCTTTGACAGCTAGAAGCAGTTTATCAGGCCTTTGCTTGTAATAATTTGCAGAGTTAAGGGAGAGCCGATACACAGACAGACAGCAGAGTACAGGAATCAGGTGATTCACCAAAAAAGACAACATCTTATAGGTATGAGAGACGACAAGAGGAGGGCAGGCAATGAGCTCAAGTTAAAGGAGATACTGAGAAGAATTTGCTGACAAGAGAAAAGCAGAAACACGGAAAGCAGAAAACTAGCCACAAAACAGAACAACTTAACACAAGAAAGACTGAAGATACAAAACAAAGGTAACTAAGGAAAACAAGAGGTAAACAGAACTCAGAGCTTTAGGGGATCCAAAGCTATGTT